CAGCTCAGGTGAGGGATGGGGGGAAAGGCAGCAGGGACACATGGGGACACTGAGACACTAGGAGACACAGACACTACGGGACACAGACACTAGGGGACACTGAGACACTAAGACACAGACACTGGGAGACCTTGGAACACTGAGACACTTGGGGACACTGGAAAACATGGGGACACCGGGACACTAGAGGACACTGAGACACTAGGGGACATATGGGGACACTGAGACACTAGGGGACACATGGGGACACAGACACTAGGGGACACTGAGACACTAGGACACATGGGGACACAGACACTGGGAGACCTGGGGACACAGACACATGGGGACACTGAGACACTTGGGGACACTGGAAAACATGGGGACACTGAGACACTAGGGGACACTGGGACACATGGGGATGCTGTGAGACATAGGGACATTGGGAGACATTGGGACACGGAGACACGATGTTCCCATGTCCCCCAGCCAGTGTCCCTAGTGTCTCAGTGTCCCCAAGTCTCCCAGTGTCTGTGTCTCATGTCTCTCAATGTGCCTAGTGTCCCCATGTGTCCCAGTATGTCCCAGTGTCCCCATGTCTATGTCCATAACTGTCCCCATGTATCCCCAAATGTCTGTCTCTCAGCCAGTGTCCCCTAGTCTCCCAGTATCCCCTAGTCTCTGTGTCTGTGTCCTTAGTGTCTTAGGGTCCCCAAATGTTTCAGTGTCCCCATGTCTCCCAGTGTCTGTGTTCCTAGTGTCTCAGTGTGCCTGGTGTCCCCATGTCTCCCAGTGTCCCTATATGTCCCAGTGTCCCCATGTCTCTGTCCACAACTGTCCCCATGTCTCCCAGTGTCCCCAAGTGTCTGTCTCTCAGTGTCTCCTAGTCTCACAGTGTCCCCTAGTCTCCCAGTGTCTGTGTTCCCATGTCTCTGTGTCCCTAGTGTCTTAGTATCCCCAAATGTTTCAGTGTCCCCATGTCTCCCAGTGTCTGTGTCCCCATTTCTCCTAGTTTCCCTAAATGTCTCTGTGTCCCCATGTCTCTCAGTGTCCCCAGTATCCTAGTGACATGGGGACACACAGACATTGGGACACTGGGAGAAATGGGGACACAGACACTGGGAGACTAGGGGATTGGGTGACTGACACTGTGATACATAGGGACACTGAGACACTGGGTGACTTGCGAGACAGACACTGGGAGACACTGGGAGCAATCCATCTATACAGCAGAATCAAACTGTGAGTAGTTTGTTGGTGATTTTAAAGAATTTTCTCTGCTGTCACTCCTTGTGATTTACATCATGTGATGTCACGCATAACTAATAATTATACAAATGATTAAGGCTGGTATTTTTTTCCAAGCAAGGTGGCAACCTTAACTACTCTTCACATATTCTTGCTTAAAGGAACACTATAGGGTCAGTAACACAATCATGTATTTCTGACCCTATTATGTTAAAACCACCACCCTGGACCCTTCTTGCCTCCCTAAATATAGTAACATATTACTTGTATTCAAGTCTGCAGCTGTTGGCTCAGAAGTGGTGGTCTGAGCAAATTACAATACTTCCCCATAGGCTGAGACAGTCAACTAGGCAGATCAAGGGCAGAGCCAGCACAAGTCCAACATAGCCCTGGCCAATCAGCATCTCCTCATAAAGATACATTGAATCAATGCATCTCTATAAGGAAAGTTCAGTGTCTGCATGCAGAGGGTGGAGACACTGAATGGCAGTGCTGCAGACTAGGCAGTACTGCCCCAGGAAGCACCTCTAGCAGCATTCTAAGGAGCGGCCAGTGGAGTTATTTGCTCTGAAAAGACAGTGTTTACTGCAAAAAGCCTGAATGGAATGATTCTACTTACCAGAACAAATACAATGTCCCTTTAAGTTTGGAAGCTTAAGAGGGATGTATGGGAACAAAACTTGTGTGGCTGGCTGACATTAAAATTAGTTTAGGTAATGCAGACGTTGGTCTCTGTGGCATGTCCCCTTTCTTCTACACTCACTACATACACATTTTCTCTGTCTCAGACTATATACCAGGAACCTCTGCCTGCTAGTAAGAAGGTAAGGAGACAAGTGGACCAGCGAGTGCTAGGGGAAAGTCCTTAGAAAGCATGGAGTGAGCGCCTTATTAGACGCATTTGTGTCAAGCTCAAGGTGCTGCCTGCATAGTATGCTCTTAGTTGGACAGCCTGCAGGATTGGCAGGCAGCCTGACATTCATTCATGCCAGGCTGACCTTCCAATTCCTTGGACAAACATGCCCCCTTTTTGGCAGGTCTTGTCACGTGATTTGCGCCAGTGGCACACCCTTTTACCCCACCCATTGACTTCCTGCTTCAGTGGACACTGCTGTTAGGGGTTATGGATTTCATATAAAATGTAACATGTGGAAAGACACTTAGTATAATTACCACCACAATTAAGGGTGCTATTCCAACAAGGTACTCCCTCCAATACCAATAAACTAAATACTCAAAAAGAAAGGAATGCACACCAACTGATACAATAGTATCTATCTATATATATTTATTGCAATACAAATCCGAATCATACATGCAAAAAATGCAACAATATAACAGTGACCAAATAGGCAAAAAAAGGCTAAACCATATATTTACCAAATTTCACAAGCCTACCAGGAGGAGCCGAAACGTTGGGGGACTGTTTGTGACTCGTGTTTCTGCCCATATAGGCTTGTGAAATTTGGTAAATATATGGTTTAGCCTTTTTTTGCCTATTTGGTCACTGTTATATTGTTGCATTTTTTGCATGTATGATTCGGATTTGTATTGCAATAAATATATATAGATAGATACTATTGTATCAGTTGGTGTGCATTCCTTTCTTTTTGAGGGGTTATGGATTTACTTGAAAGATGAAAGCATAAATTAGAGAGAAATTAGCATAGAGTATGTGTTTTCTTATAGCTGCATTCTATGAGTTTCCCTCCAGCACCATCTCCATCAGATACATGACCTTGGGAGGTATGACTGTTTTAGTGTTTTTGGTCGATAAGATTCCGTAATTAGGCCCATCATAATTGTCAGCACCAGGCCCACTGTGCTCTTAATCCGGCCCTGCCTGCAGACACTGCATTCCTGTGGGCGGACTCGGGGGGGGGGGGGCTGCAGCACTTTGGGCGGACTCAGGTGCAGGCACCGGGGGGCCCAGACCTTGAACTGTGTCAGGGGCCCCACAATTTCTGATGGCAGCCCTGGTGTCTGCCAGTGTGTGTCTTTGAGTGAGTGTCTGTCTGTGAGTGTGTGTCTGCATCATTGTGTGTGAGTGTGTCTGCATGTCTGTCAATGATTGTGTGTGTCTGTGACAGAGCTGTCTTTCCGCATGGGCACACTGTTGCCCAGGGGTCCCACAAGCATGGGGGCTTCACAGCGTTGCCCATGTTCCAGACCGAGAGGAGAGATCCTTTGATCTCCCCTGCCGGCCCATGGAGAGCCAGCCCTGCTCGCTTGGTTTGTGCCCTTTCGGGCCGGTGGGGAGATCCAAGATCTCCCTCACGGGCCCAAAGGTTCTTTGTTAGAGAGAGGGAGGGAGAGAGGACCTGGGAGGCAGTACCTCCTGAGAGCATGCTGGTCTGAGCGTTGCCAAGCATTGCCGTGTCAATGCTCCAACATAGCATTCTGCTTGCGGGAAAAGTGAAGATAGTCTGCAGCCAGAGGAGCTGCAGGCTGTAGATCACTACTCACCACCGAACCCCCAAGAAAAAGAAACTACATCCTCTCTGAATTTTATGGTTTTACATATCAGGACATAATAACAATCATCTGTTCCTTAGCAGGTTTTTAAAATTAGGTAAATACAACCTCAGATGAACACTTCATATCCCAGCCCTGAGGGGGGATATGAAGCTTTAAAAAAAAAAAATTATTTTAAATAAAAATAACAAACAAAGATCACTTTTCCCTTTGCACCCCCTCCCTCCACACAAACACACAGCACCCCTCACACAGCACCCCTTACACGGCACCCCTCACCCCTCTCACACACACGGCACCCCTCTCACACAGCACTCCTCACACACTGCTTAGCAGTTTATGTATTCAGCAGTCTGTGTGTATGTGTATTAAGCAGTCTGTTTATGCATTTAGCAGTATGTGGGTTTACTCAGCAGTCTGTCTGTATTCAGTAGTTTGTGTGTATGCATTCAGCAGCCTGTGTGTATATAGCAGTCTGTGTGTGTGTATTCAGCAGCCTGTGTGTATTCTGCATTTTGTGTTTGTGTATTCAGCCGTCCGTGTGTGCGCGTATTCAGCAGTCTGTGTGTTTGTAATGTATGAATGTATTGCAGTTGTTGGAGGTACCAATAAATATAAGCGTAATTTTATCGATAATTTAAATATTTAATTCCTGTGACTGATTGTGTAGGCAGGGCCCCAGTGCACTGCTTTGCCTGGGGGGGCATAATGTTGTTAAGATGGCACTGGTCCGTGAGGGAGTCAGTGATTGTGTGTGTGTCTGTCAGATTGTGTCAAATCAGTGAGAGTGTGTGTATGTATGTTAGTGTATCTGAGAGTGTGTTTCTGTCAAAGTGTCTTAGTCTTTAACAGGAAAAGGTGTGGCCTTGATAGGAAGGGGAGTGGCAAATGTAAATTAGGGGGTTTGGAGCATTGAGGTGTGTATTAACACAATGCCAATGAGGATAGACAGCAGCAATCTTCTTTTAGAAGCAATTGCTAGTGCCCATTAAATTGGGAAGGGATGTAAGGCAAAAATCTAAACAATTTAAAGTCCATCCTTCTACAGTGAGAGATTATTCAAAAGTGGAATATATTCAAAACAGTTGCTAATCTTCCCAGGAGTGTACATTCCAGCAAATTTATCCCAAGGTCAGAGAAATTGCTCAGAGAAATTACAAAAACTCAAGAGATACATCTCAGACTTTACAGGCTTCCGGTAGCATGTTAAAGATTAAGTGTCATGACAGTACAATTAGAAAAAGATTGAACAAGTATGGTTTGTTTGGCAGGATTGCCAGGAGAAAGCCTCTTCTCTAAAACAAAGTTGCATCTGAACAAACCACCGGACTTCTGGAACAAAGTCCTTTGGACAGACGAGACCAAAGTGGAGATGTCTGGCCATAATGCACAGCGCCATATTTGGCAAAAGGCATATAAGCAAAAACACCTCATACCAACTGTCAAGCACAGTGGTGGAGGTTTGATGATTTGGGCTTGTTTTGCAGCCACAAGACCAAGGAACCTTGCAGTCATTGAGTTGAACATGAACGCTGTATTTTAAAGTATTCTAGAGTCAAATGTAAGGGTTGTCTGTCTGACAGCTATAGCTTGGCCAAAATTGGATCATGCAACAGGCAGTGACATATCCAGGGGTGGGGGGGCAAGAAAATAGTGAAGACCGAGACTCTCCCTTGCTGGCCCATGCAGGGCCAACACTGTCCGAGTGCCAGCCGTTCTCTGTCTCTTCAAAGACTGGAGGGGAGATCAGAGATTTCCTTTACCGGCCCGCTGGCACCTTGTTCGGCTGCCGACAGGGTAGGGAGAGGAGACCCGGGAGCTCTAACCTTCACCTCGGCTGGATTCTCCTCTCGCGAGCTCGGAGCATTGCCACTATTACCATGGCAACACTCAATTCTAGTCACAGAATATTTTGAGTTCACTTCCCATTAGGACCACCAGGGCTTGGAAGCAGTGTCCCCTCTACCTAGGCAAAGGTACAAAGGGAGGGTGGAAGTTTAATAATTTTTATTACAAAAATGATATTTGATTTGTTGCCATCTACCCCACCAAAAGACATTACTCCTCACACACAGACACATTGCCTCACACACGCTGTATCCCTCACACACTGCACCCCCTCACACACATACTTCACCCCTCACATACACACAGAGAGCTGTAGTGGTTATTGTGCATAGATTGTTTCTTTAAATAATCTACCAGTGCCCCTCCAGAGATTAGGTTCTGGATCTGCCCCTTGCAACAGGACAATGATCCCAAGCACACCAGCAAATCTGAAAGAGAATGGCTGAAAAAGAAAAGAATCAAGTTGTTGAATGGCCCAGTCAAAGTCCAGATCTCAACATAACTGAAATGATGTGGTGGGAAGAACTGTGCATATACAAATGCCAGCAAACACCAATGAACTGAAGCAACATTTCCTCCACAACGATGTAAGAGACTGATAAAGTCATACAGAAAACTTTGTTATTGTTGCTAAAGGTGGTTCTACTATCTATTGAATCATAAGGTTTACTTAGTTTTTCACACATGGTTTCTCCATTTTGTTTTTGTTTTTTTGTTAAATAAATCATGACACGGTGTAATATGTGTTGTTGTTCATCTGAGGATGTATTTACCTAATTTTAAGACCTGGTAAAGAACAAATGATTGTTATTATATTGTTATTATATCCTGATATGTAAAACAATAGAATTCAAACAGGGTGTAATTTTTTTCCCCCGTGACTGTATAATTGCCTAAATGTAGACATGCCAAATTTTTTTTTTTTTTGCGGAAAAAAATAAAAATGCACTGATCTGTCTTACTTCCAAGTTCCAAAAAGGCTGTCATTTAGTCTTCTTGAGTTAGAGAAACCATGGCAAAAAAAATATTTTTTGGTGACAATAGTGATATAAATTGCTATCTGAATGGTAGATACATATCTCAGGAAACATATGATTATTATTAGCCTTTACACAGCAACAACATATTCTGCAACACTTTACAGTTTTAACATGCGGATTAACAGTAAATGTGACAAATTATAGCACATTAACAGGAAATAGAGGGTGATAAGGACTCAAAACTTTCCTCAAACAAGCTACATCTGTATGTATTTGCCACCTCATCTCTTTTTTTTTTTTACTAGATATGTATAAATATTATTTACCCCAAAGAGAGCAATGCCAATTTTATAGATAGCCCAGATAAAATAATTACGTATAATTTCATGCCAATAATAACATTAAAATCTATTTATTTTTATAAGTTGAGAGAAACCGATGGTTATTGTACATTATGGAACGCCAAATACAAACCCTTATTATAGCAGCCAATCAAAATTTCAATCTGTTACCAGGACTTTTTCTAGAACTGCATCATCCTTAAACCATTTTTGCTAGCAATATTTATTCCATAAGAAGTTTATGTGACTTCCTATGTGCCTGAAACAACCCAAGGATTGTTGTTTTAATGAGTTCAGTCTGTCTGATGCTCAATTTGATGACAAACAGTTCTTTCCATTAGAGTTGTACAATAGTGATAAGGGTCATATATATATATATATGACTGGGCACATACTACTGACTACCTTTATAGTTTTAGGTCAGTTACATATATATGTATATGTAGAGTGTCATGTTTTTACGGTACAGGAACCTCACCAGCTTTAGAATCTCATTTGAATTCTTATGAGCAATATTGGAAAGCAAGGTATGCTGAGAGATCCATATTTAAAAAAAATAAAAAAAATTATATCTCATCTGTTATGTTCATATATTATTTTGATGATAAAGTTTTGAGACAATTAAGCTAAACCTGAGATCAATTTAGGGGTGGACTGATCACATTGGTCATGAAACGAAGGCCCAAGGCAGTCAGGGGCCAGGCTGGAAAGCCATGCTCTGATACAGATCTCCCCAACTGGAAAGGCATTATTACACATTTATAACAAGCTATAGGTTGCAGGGCACCTGAAGGAGTGGAGAGCCCATGCAACCTATAACAATGTAAATTACTTCCCCACCACCTGAGTGAGACCTTGCAATGGTCGTGCTCTTCTATATGACCTATATGTACTTATAGTGTGGGTACTGCTTCGTATTCCCCCTTATAGCAACAATAAGGTTATATCAACTTTTCAACGGTGGTACTGGAGAAGTCCCTGGTGTTATATGGAATCTTAGTAGTGAAGACATCAGCCTTCATGGCTCGGCTGGCTCCCAGCCAAGTTGCAGCATCGGTGCGGTGCCGTCCACGGCATGAATTCTCTGATCCTTGCTAAGTCTATAGTGGACAGGCTCCGTCTCTCCTCAGTGGAAGGCGGGTCAATTCGCAGCTTCTTCAGAATATCTTCTAGTGCCTGATAAGTTTCCGCACAGTGAGTGGTGCCTAAAGTGGTGATCAGGACTGTACGGGGTTGGCCCCATAGGTATGGCACTTCATTTGCACGCAGCAATTGAAGCAATGGTTGCCGGGATCGGCGCCACAAGAGAGTATTTCTCGTGACATCTGGGAAGAGGAGTAATGTGGCACCCTCAAAGGTAAGTGGGGTCTTTCCTCTCACAGCAGCTAGAAGGAGGGTCCTAAAGTGGAGGCCCTCGGCAGCTTGAGGATGTGGAATATGCCACCTAGTTTCATGGTCTTGATGTGCTTCACTAGAAAGTTGGCCGCAAAGAGCTGTCTGACAAAGTGAGGGACGTCGGACAGTCCCACCGATTCCGGTACCCCCCTAAGTTTCAGGTTGTACCTGCGTCGTTGATCCTCAAGGACATCGTTCTTGCCTTCAGCCCTTTGTTGGTGCTGGTGCAGGACCGCCAAGCCCTTCTCCACCGCTGCAAGCCGGGTATCATGAGTGGCCTGGGTGGCCTCGAGGTGGACCAACTTAGCAGTTGTGCTTTTAACGGCTTTTCTAAAGGGGGCCAGTTTGCCCACTGTGTTCTCACGGAGCTCCACCAGCATCGCCTTAAATTGGGCTGCAGTGACAAGAACCCTATAGCGCCATATAGTCCCATGCGGCCTTCTGTTTTCCTTTGCCTTAACTTGTTATGGACATCTGCTGTGTCTGGATAGTGGGGTTAGGGTGCAGGATGGTAATATGACTGATGATCAGTAATGAACATCAATAAAAACAGATAACTAGGTATGGTATCTCATAGTTTTGGATGGAACAGCTCCACTTAAGGTTATGCATGTGAGTTGAAGAGATCGGAGCTGGGGGGAATGATTACAATCATGGGAGCTAACCGGGTCTCATCTTGGCCAATTTTGGCCTGTACGGGCTACTCTGTCGCGGTTAACATAAGGAGAGTGAGTACTTAAGTGATGTACAACTTTTAAACAAAACAAAAGCATTAAGGAAAAGAAAAGTGAAAGGAAGAAAAAGGAGACACAAGTCCCAACACTCAAATTGCTGCATTCGGGTGATAGCTACGCTCCTCTGGGTAAAGGAGTGAATGGGACCACGTTGGATGGATCCCAGGTGTTTGTAGCGGGTCAAGGGTTAGGACCGGTTCCCAGGGAGGACAAAACTACATCCATTTCTGATGCTTCTGTGACTCTGTGTTCTGTACCATGGTGCTGGAATATCAGTGTACAAGGTGTGCCCCAGCGATACTTTTAGGCCTTGAGATGCTAGCCTGGATGTTAGAGGCCTAAGCGACTTTCTCCACTGCAGTGTTGATCTATAGAGGTCAGCGTAGAACGTGAGTTCCATTTCTTCGAAGTGATATGGAGTCTTCCCCCTGGTGGCATTTAAGATGGCTGCCCTGTCTTGCCCCTTTTAAATTTAACCAGGGGTCACTGGTAGCTGGGGCAGACTGAGGCTTTTGAAGGCAAAACATGTCATCCTTTGCTGTTTTAGTGGGTGGTAAGGCCATAAACTGCCTGCGTAGTGTGGTGTCTCTGTCAGAGTAGTGATTTCTGATATACCCCTGATCTTCAGGTGTTTCCACCTACTTTTGTCCTTCAGAGCTGCCAGCTTGCTGTCAAAGTTTGTCTGAGCTACAGTGAGGTCCCTCACCTGTCTCTGCAGGTCTGAGATTTGGGGAGTATGCATTTCCACTGTTTGTTCTACTTTGGTTAGGTGGGCTGTGAACCCCCTGACATCTTCCGTACTTGGGATATGTCTGCAGAAAGGCTTTTACGGAGGTCAGCCAGGAGGTTAGTCAGGATGGCTGTGGCAACCAGGGTTGAGTCGCTTGCTGCCTCTGGAGGGGGCATCACAGGTCCTCTGTTCTATGCAGGGGGACATCATCTGAGATGTCGGAGAAATCACCCAGTGCGTCCACCATGTCAAGCCCGCGCGCACCATGCGGCCTTCGAAAGAGCTCGCTAATGTCAGCTGAGAACCCGGACCGATCCAACCTCAGTTTCTTGTTCTTCCGCCCCATATACTTGTGAACACTTTTGGCTATTGCCAGTGCAGTTTGTGTTTCAGAAAGGCTCCTTCTTTGCAGGTTATTTCGGCCTTGTTGACAGAGCTCCAAAGACATGCGACCTCCAAGAAATCAATATTTTAAACATCAAATAGAACAAATTTGATATTTTAGAGGTGACTTCTGAGGAGAACAGCACTCTTCTGATTCTAATGCCTCCCCTGTGCTACGGTACTCTGTGAAGTTAATGGCTCTATAGTTCATGCTGGGAGACTATAGCTCCCACAATAGAGCAGGTGGTGTGAGGGCATGCTGGGGCATCACAGTAGTATTCCCTCTGCTCCCTGATCCCCATTTCCTCCCCCATAAATACAAATCAGAAAGCAAGGCCCACCTGAGGTGGAGCAAACCTTACTATGGCTGCTCCTTTTATAATGTAGCATGTCTCTGGAGCTCCGTTGGTGGTAAGTGATCATGTCTGCTGCATCTCCCACGCATATAGGGACCTCTTCCGTCTTGCCACAGCATTCAGAAGTGGATCAGCGGAAGGGAGGCCAGGTATGTGTGTTGGCCGTGGCATGCAGCAGGCGCCATCTTAACTTAGGCCCCACACAAAAGTGTCTTGTGTTTTAACCGCTGCAGTGACATTTCATGTTTGAGATGACTCCCAATTTTAGACTAAAAATGTTTTGAAAAAAACATAGTCTTATACATGGGAAAAATACGGTATATATGTAATGGGTGCATAACTCTTTCTCAGAACTCAGGCACACATAATTACACGTAAGACATGTAGGCAATAACTTTAGAATGGTTTGAGGTGTGGTTGTATGAATTCACAAGGACAGTGACTAATGCCTCTGGAAACACCTTAGTTGTGACAACACCGCAAGCTCTATTTCATGAGAATAATCATTCGTTTATAGGTTATCAGGTCAAATCAATCACATCTGTGCTACAGTAGTCCTTATTGTTACAGAAGAAAGTTACATAAACCGTTTTAAGAGGATAATTATTCTGCAGTAATTATATACATATACAACAACTAACTTTCAATGTAACACAATTTAAATTACCATCTGCCATGTATATCTGGAGGTAAAAATATTAACACCAACATCAAAGGGTATTCTTCTTTTGTAATTAGAGCAAATTAGAAGGAAGTGAAATAGTATTCATTTGCAAGCAGGAGATTCCACTACCTCTGTTTAAAAAAGAAAAAAGTAAATGTAGCTTTTATTTGCAGCGTGGGATAATTACAGCAGGATTTATGTAATGGCTGCAAAACCACCATAGCTAATTTAATGAGTTACAGTTTGAAGTCAATAAAAAGATCCATGATATTTACTGTTACAGTTTGCAAGCTAATTTCCGAGTGTAACTAAGCCAGTTCAACGTATTGCTTTCCCCAGGGTAAGTGCAGAATTTGACCAACATTGGTTTAAAAAAAAAAAATGATAAAATACACGGTCATAAGCTCCCAACTTATTATTTTGATTGTGTATTTTTATTCAATAAAAGTTTTTTTGGTTCCAATTTTGTGCCAATCATCTTTTTAATACACCTTTTTTTTCTGAATTTTTACCTGGCTTCCTTTTATCCTCGTGTGACTCCAAGTATATCCTAGGTGGGGATTGTGGCAAACCTAGCCACTTGGACATTATTTTGTACTGTCTCTTTAAGGGTTGCCGGTATGGGGTTCCTATTGTGTGTTATAGTGTGTAATGTAATGCAATGTTAATAATGTATTGCCTGCCTGGGCTATCTGCCGAACGCAGATAGCTGATTCCTTTCGTTTCACGAACTGCACCTTTGCGGGCCGTTCGGGAACTGAACAACATATCATTTAATAGCCCACACACTTAGAGACGTGTGGCGCCTATTAACCGATTGCAACAATGTTGCAATCGGTAATTAGAGGCTCTCCTGGGTGGCCGTCATTCGACTACCGACCATGCGGCGGGCGGCCATCTTGGATCCTTTGTTCCCTCAGCGGTGTTTGGTCGTTGAGCACGTGGAACTAAAAACGGCTACTCGACGGCACGAACACCGCTGAGCCTCCAGACCGTTCGGGAGGTCCGGGACATTCGGTATTTTGTTTCACTATATGTAATCGGTATTTTAAGGCTATGTGTTAGTGAATGTGTTTTTCGTGCGGCGTTCGGTTGTTTTAGCTGGGATCTGATCGGTAATCTCACGAATGATGCGCTCAGACCCCAGCTATCTACCGAACGTCCATTCGTTTAAGTGAACCAGATATTCATAGAGTTATTGAATTTAAGGTGAATTGTGAGTTCTGCTGCACGGAGGGATAATCCACTTAACGGTATATTCCTGGGGGAGGATCCCTCTCGTGCAGCAGTGCCTGATGGGATAAATGCCCTGTACTGTAAGTCCCCCATGTAGTCCCCTCTGGGAATGCCCCTGGGAGGGGACTCAGGAAACCCCTTGCATGGGGACTTGTATAAATTGTGGAGCTGAATTAAAAGACCTCAGTTGACTCCCAGCCTATGTGTCGTCTAGTTCTTGGGAAGGAAGGGTTACTGCAGTGCTGTTTGGATTATTGTATGCTGATTCCCTGGATTATCCTTTGTTGTTCCTGTTACCCAGCGGAGATATCGTGGATTATACTGCCTCTCCGCTACAGGGATCATACCACCAACGCTGATACCACAGAGAAGTTGGCCTGCACTTTACTTGTGAGTACATTTTTATTTATGTTCACTGCATATTTTATCTTAATGAGAGCACTATTATCTTTTATGTATCCCTCTCCTGAGTGTTGGACACCATCCCTCTGGAGGACTCCCATCACATATCCTTTAAAGCGGGGATAATACCGCTGTACGCTCTTCACATTAGAGCTGGCTATGGCTCTTTTAAATGTGAGTTGACTGCACATATTTGTTTATTTTATCCATATTGGCTTGTACATACTGCACCATTGGTTTTCCTTGTTTTACATACAAGCTGAACGGTTGGACAACTAAAGGCAGTGAGGACACTACACCCAAAATAAGCACCTTATAAGACATTTATCTCTGAGTGAGACTTAAATATTTTGGATTTTTCTTTCTGTGATTCTACCAGAACCCTAGTCTCACTTTTTCAGTGAGACTTCATATACTGTATTGTCTTACCTGTTGATGCAAAGAATTGTATTATTACTATTATTATTTTTAGTATTATTTTTACTGTTTATCTACTTGGCACAGCCCTTTTCCTGAAAAAAAATAGATATCAACTTGTAAGGTGAGATCTGCACTGCAAAATTAACCCTTTCACAGCACAAGTTATAATCATACATGCTGGAATCTGGTCCATAGTATAATGCCATCTGTGAGCCTGATGACAATGGGGTGTCTGATGGAGTACGCAAAGTGCATGGTGCCAAAAAATTTATTTCTGCTAAATATCAGGATTTTCCAAATGCTAAAAGCACTTCATCCTCCAGATCAATTTTGGGATAATTTCTATATACTTAACTTTCACTATACACTGATCTGCCACAACATTAAAATCACCTGCTTCATTTTCTCTAGGTCCCCTTGTGCTGCCAATACAGATGCATTGAGGCAAAACCTCCAAACGTGTCCTGTGGTATCTGGCAGCAATACATTAGCAGCAGATCCTGCAAGTTGCGAGGTAGGTCCTGTATCTAATCTGTTGTTCCAGCACATCCCACAGATGCTCAATTGGATTGAGATCTGGGGAACACTGTCATGTTGCTCAAACCATTCCTGAACAATGTTTGCAGTATGGCAGTGTGCATTATCCTGCTGAAAGAGGTCACTGCCACTAGTGAACACCAATCCCATTAAGGGGTTTACAGGGTCTGCAAAAATCTCTAGGTAGGTGGTACATGTCAAAGTAACATGAAAACCAGGACAGTAAATCACAACAGAACATTGCCTAGAGCATAACACTGCCTCCGCCAGTCTGCTTTCTTCCCATATTTTATCCTGCTGCCAACTCTTCCACCGGTTAATGACACACATGGACAGGGCCGTCTTTAAGGAGGGGCAAAAGGGGCAGCTGCCCCGGGCCCAGTTACTCCTGGGGGCCCTAAGGCAGCTGCCCCATGGGCCCCCTGAGGTAATCAGGGGCCACAGCCCTTTAATACTGCTCTGGACCGGGCCCTTGTAATATGGAGGTTTGCTGAATACAAACACACAGCTAGCCCCTCACACACTGCCCTGTGATCCCTTTTCTTCTCCGTGGCATGCTGGAAGGCAGTGAGGTCAGATCACTTCCTCCTCAGTGCCGCTGGGGAGGAGGCACACACCACACGGAGGAGGATGCAAGCATTGTTGGGGAGAGGGACTGAGAAAGCTGATGGCAGACTCCCATCAGCCTGGGCCAGCAAGCTCTCACTGGACACCAGGGAAGCCACCTTTCTGTACCCAAAAAGGTAAGGAGACAGGAGGGTGGCTAAATATGTTTTGTTTTTTGTTTTGCTAATTTCTGATATCACTTTTATTTAAGTGTGTTGGTGTTTGTAATGTAACACACAGGGAATAAGTACATGTTAAAAATCCTAGAAGAACCTGACAGTTCCCTATTAAATATAAATTTTAAAAGTATTTATTTTAACATATTATTGCATCAAGTGTTATCAAAGGCTGTATACCATTTCCAAATGTCACTTTTGCCAAATTCTGGACCAGGGTATGTAAGAACAGAGTTGAGACATTATTATGGCCAAGGTTGCTGGGAGTTGCTGTCCAAGAGCTGCTAGAAGGCAGAGATTAAAATATGTAAATGTACACATATATGTGTGTGTGTATCTGGCTGTGTTTATGTCCTTGTGTGTATCTGGCTGTGTTTGTGTCAATGTGTGTATCTGGCTGTGTTTGTGTCAGTGTTTGTATCTGGCTGTGTTTGTCTGTGTGTCAGTGTTTCTGTGTGTATGTATACCTGTGTATGTGTACTTGTGTGTCAGTGTGTATGTGTACCTGTGTGTGTGTTTGTGTGTGTGTGTGTGTATGTGTCAGTGTGTGTAAGTGTGCATCTGAGTGTGTGGTAATGCATACATCCCAGCATTTTAATGCCAACACAAATACACTCCATCTCTAGCACTGTACACATATACACCCCTGCATTTATACCTTTATGTATGTGTATATCTGAGTGTGTGTATACATACCTGTGTCAGTGTGTGTGTGTACCTCTGTGTGTGGATGTGCCAGTGTGTGTGTGTATCAAAGTGCTTGTATCTGAGTGTGTGTGTGTGTGTGCATATGTGCCAATATGTGTCAAGGTGTGAGCATGTGTCAGTGTGCATATGTGTGTATCTGCGTGTTAATGTGTATGTGTATATGTGTTATAGAAATCACACAACATGCAAACAGAGCCCTGCAAACACAAACATTACATACAAACACACCAGTTTGCTGAAACACCAATACTACACACAAATGTACACAACACTACATCCAAACAACCCCCTGCATGCAAATACAAACATTACATACAAACACATTCCTGTATTAAAACGCTAAAATTATATACAAACACCAACTCTACACACAAAAGTACACCTGCATTTAAAAGCCAACACTACAGACAATCACACATTACTGCATTCAAACGCAAACACTACACACAAGTACACCACTGCATTCCAATGGTAACAGTACATACAAATACACCCCTACATGCTCACATACACTCTATACAATAAAATGCTGACATTCAATTGCACAAACACTGCTCAAAAATACAACCCTGCAAGGATGGTAGATCCCCAGCTGGCATAGCATCGCAGGAGTTGTATGACAGCTGGGGATCTATCTTTTCTTTACTCTTGTGCTACAGGGCAGGCCTGTATTATTATTTTGTTGCACCAAGGCACTCTCTACATTAGTTTCGCCTCTAGGTTGGGGTGGAGGGAGTGATTGCATGCCCAGGGGGCCCAAGCAGATGCTTGCCCAGGGTCCAATCAATATTAAAGACGGCCCTGCACATGGACCTGCCCATCCAACTCACCTACACGTGATTCATCAGAACAGGCAACCTTCTTTCATTGCTCCATTGTCTAGATCTGATGCTCATGTCCCCAATGAAGAGGCATAGAGCTACAGTAGCTCTATGTGATTGGACTAGATGGGCTAGCTTTTCCTCCCCTTGTGCATCATTGAGCCTTGGGTGCGCATGACCCTGATGTCGGTTCACCACTTGTCCTTCCTTGCACCATATTTGGTAGGTACTAACCACTGCTTACTGGGAATACCCCATAGACATATCCAATAATTAAAAAATTAAGTCATCTGTAGAACTCTGAATCTTTCTAGAACATATTCATCTCTTATAATAATAATAATTGGTGTTAACTACAAACAATTTTGTTTGTAAGTATGCCTCTGCTTTAATGTTCCATCAAGTTCTGAAACTTTATACACATCTCAGTAAAGTCTTGTTTAAAACAGCAAATGTTATCACTTGAACGAATAATCCTTAATAATCATGTTTTAAGCATGACAATATCTTACTAGCAACAAAGCAACTGCTGACCAAAGTTACACTTGTCAAGCCTGTTGTTTATAAGGAAATTCCAATTCCTCTTAAAGGGAAACTATACTGCCAGAAAAACAAACTCGTTTTCTTGGCACTATAGCTTCCCCCTCCACCAAGGCCCCCCACCCCCATGTGCAAAAGGCTTTAATAACCCATTCTGTCAATTACCTGTGTCCAGCGCCGATGTCCCTCTGTGCTGACTTGGGGCCGCCTTCACTTCTCCCCTGCTGACATCAGCCGACGGAGAAGACCTAATGAGCATGTGTGACAAAAGCCACTCTCGTATTTTGGATTTCCCCGTAGGAAAGCATTATTAAATGCTTTCCTATGGGGATTTCGGTGACGCTGGAAGTCCAAAAGTCACCTAAAGACCTAGAAGTCTCTCTAGTGGCTGTCAGGTTGACAGCCACTAAAGGATGAGTCAACCCTAGCAGGTAATTATTGCAGTTTATAAAAAAACTGCAATAATTCCATGCTCAGGGTTGAGGGCTGAAGTGGTCTGGGTACCTATAGTGTCCCTTTAAGTTTAGTTTCAGTGAACACAGGTTAATTATTCTAAACAGACAGACCAGTCACAATCCACTTTCTGCGTGTCCACAATTCGAATCCTAGTAATTTAAGAGTAAGGGGTATAGAGTGGACACCATACCATATAGGCATGGTGACCAAAAGTCTCTTGGCAGCTGAATCAATATGAGTATTTTTTATTAAACACAGTAGCCCCTAGAGGCTTAAACTAGAAATTTGATGTTTTTTTGTTTTTATTTCTTGTTCACATTTTTCCCTTTTTTATATTCATTGTTCCTTCTATTATTTATTGGTATCATCTTTGTTCTGCTAGGATTATTTATGTAATAGTGTGAAGGAGTGCCCCCATCACTTGGTTCGGTAATATTCGTTTTTCCCTGTTCGTTTGCTTGTTCGAAACTCCCCTAGTTTGGTTCCCAAATGAGGACCACCCCAACATCTAATGAGAACATGGAATACAAAATATCCAATGCAAAACCACAACGGAAACTATTAATGAAATGTTCCCCTGGGTAGCTGCCAATTCATGCAACCGAATGCATGTGGTCCACAGAATAGATGGCAGCCATCTTTTCTCCTAAACGCCAACAGCAGTACCTGGTGCTCGAGTGCCTGGAACTGATTTTGGCTAAGCACTCCCGGGGGTACTCTTGGGGTGTTGAAAAATTTTCATATTTTTTTTTTTTGTACCTATTAGTGAATTGTAAGTATTCTGACTCAATTATCTCTCAGGCACAGGGAGGAGTTTACTGTATGTATACATTGAGAGTGCTTGTCTGAAATAAACAGATCTACTCTCTGCATTCACTCTCGACTAATTCATGGGGGGAAAGGCTATACAGCGATATTTACTCTCATGATCGATAGAGCTTTGTTGCTTTGGGAAAGGGAGCCTGTGGCGGTGATATACTGGCGGTCCGCCACATAATATAATGTTTTGTTCCCTTCTACTTGATTTAATGTTTATACTTTGGAATATTGCTTGGGTAGGTGCCCTTTTTTATTTATTTATTTAAAAAAAATTCTTGTGATCTTTTGGCCAATTTAATTATCTTTTTTTTTTTTTATATATTCTTTTTTAGGTTTTACTTTTTTTTGCTGTTAAGGTGATTGGCCTATTTTTTTGTGTGTGCTAGGCCCTCAGTACAATTGACATGTTTGGTCACCTACCTTGAGATATCCTATTGCTTTGCCCACAATCTTGTCTTTGAGAATGTGTATCTACAATTTTAACACTGCTGTGATTTTACTAAAATGCACCCCTTTATTAATTTAATTTGTTTATTTTGGATATCAGAGTAGCCTTGCAAATGAGACTGTTGCACTTTTATTTTATTATTTTCAGTGAAGTAGTCTGATGTTATTTATATCTTTATATGAATTTACCTACTTGCATGCTGATTGACTCATTTTTTTCTATTTGTATTTTTTTTTTCCAGCTCAATATGTACAACGAACACAGAACATTTTCTGTATTATCAGTTGCAGATACAAAGCATTTACACAGGTTCCAACTACCAACACTGAATTACTCTTGTCAATGGTAAACATAGTGGCTTGTGCATAGGCATAATATACATCTAGATATGTCTGTGAGAAATGTACTTTATCAACAATAACTCTTGTCTTTGAGTTGGTGACACAACCAGTTTTTCTGGAGTTAATTCAATGGTTGATGTGATGTTGACTGTGTGTTTGAGATTGGTGTTTGTGTAACATTTGTTAATGGTGGCTGTGTTCCAGATTCTCTTCATTGGGCTGATCAAGCACATCAGCTGTTATTATTGGCTCATAACATATTGCATAAACAGAAATTGGTTCTTGATGTGTAATGCATCAGCATTTCACGGTCACTGAGTCTAGTAGTAATATAAGCTGCTGGAGTGAATCAATCAATTATTCATTTTCTGTTTTGATGCTGAAATTATTCAATGCAAGTGCCAATATTTACCCGTACATATGGTTGGCCTCAGAATATAAATACAACTTCTTTAATATTTATAGAATGGTGTAATATGTTAGCTGAATAAAACAAAAATCACTGATTAGATAATCTAAATGATTGTTTTGGTGACATTTCTATGGGACTTGAATATCACTGTTCTATTTAGTACTGTTATAGTGAAGGATATCACACTTTCTAAGGGTTTGCATAATTCCATTTATATTAATACCACATCTATGATAATAAAACCTTTAACTAAGAATGCATGAAGGAGATTATTGAATGTCGGGATGTCTGAGGTAGAGTCCAATGTCGGTTCTGTAGAATTAGACAAGAATACAATATTGGTATTCTGTTGCAAACATTACTCAACCCAATTCATTGAGCAAAGTCACCAAGGTTTCTTATAAAGGCGTAACGTGGACAGATTGTTTGGATTGCATCTTAAGTGAATTGCAAAATCTGAGGGAAGTCTGGCCAGCCAACTGAATCTAGTGAGTGTATTTCCTGAGTTAAATGTCAATGAAGCCAAAGTGGACATGACTAATAAATTAACTGAACAAGTACAAAATACTTACAAATACTGAGCCCAACAGTAGAATGCAGTGCGGATCTCACCAATGAAGGAAACGTTTCTTGTATGTTTATTTACTGCCCCATCGCTCCCTTTGTACATAAATCCTAATGATCCTAGCTGCTCCCTCTCATTGTTTTACTCAGAAATAAACAGGGAAGGCACTGTTTATGGCATTATCTTATGCCATTATTTATTGTATATATTGATTAAGACAGCCTGGATAGCAATTGAAGAGAGGCTTTGAAATGGGTCTTACATGGTGCCTGGTCAATTGTTTTCAGCAGAGATGCAAACTGCATAATTAAGAAGAAATATCATCTGTGTAGAAATGGAGAGAAACACAAATTTTTGTCTTATAAACATTATAAGAATAGATAAAAATAAGGATTTGTATAGGTTTGCATATTACTAAAAAATTAAGAAATATATTGTCATTACCTATGTATATGATTGAGAAAGATTAAATATAATCATAATTTATCACATGACTTACTTGTCTTATTCATATTAATGACATAATCTGCGGAGGATCCTCAACTATTAAACTATCTATGAATTGGGTTAACCTCTTCAGCAACAGTCCAATGTATACACAGGTTTAGTTTTATTTCATGGTGTTACTATGCAAATAAATATTTCACTCAAACTCCTCCACTCCTCATTGTTCCTGTGTTTATCCTCATCAGATGTATGTCTATAATCTGAGCTACATATACAAACCATTTATGATGCCGAATGTAAATTCCCTGCCGATGTTTGTGAATGTACAAGTGAATGTGTCTATGTCTGTGTATATTGAACAAGTGGGCTTTGTCCCCAGTAAACAAGCCTTAGACATTTAACTCCTTAAGGACTGAGGCAGTTGTACAAGTTGTAATCAAAACAAAATGTAAACAAAACCTTGAATAACTGTGAATGTCACAATATTGTTAGCTGGTTCTGCAATAAAGCACACATATTTGTATTCAGCAATGTCTCACGAGTAAATCAGTACAGGTTTTATGGTGTTTTGGAAAGTTACAGGGTCAAATATAGCACATTACATTTTTCAGTTTATACACACTGAAATTTGCCAGACTGGATTTGTTGCCTTTGAGACCAAATGGTAGCCCAGGAATGAAAATTACCCCCATGATGGCATACCATTTGCAAAAGTAGACAACCCAAGGTATTACAAATGGGGTATGTCTAGTCTTTTTTGGTAGCTACTTAGTCTCAAACACTGGCCAAAGTTAGCGTTCATATTTGTTGTGTGTGAAAAATGCAAAAAAACTAAATTGAACGCAAATTTTGGCCAGTGTTTATGACTAAGTGGCAACCAAAAAAGACTGGACATACCCCATTTGCAATAACTTGGGTTGTCTACTTTTGCAAATGGTATGCCATCATGGGGGTAATTCTCATTCCTGGGATGCCATACGGTCTCAAAGGCAATATAACCAATCTGGCAAATTTCAATATGGAAAAAAAGGAAATTCAAGCCTTATATTTGACTCAGTAACTTTTCAAAACACCATAAAACCTGTACATGAGGGGTACTGTGTTTAGTCGGGAGACTTCGCTGAACACAAATATTAGTGTTTCAAAATAGTAAAACGTATCACAACAATTATATCGTCAGTGAAAGTACATTTTGTGTGTGCAAAATGCAAAAATCTGCATTTTTACTGATGATATAATTGTTGTGATATGTTTTACTGTTTTTAAACACTAATATTTGTGTTCAGCGAAGTTTCCCAAGTAAAACAGTACCCCCCATGTACAGGTTTTATGGTGTTCTTGAAAGTTACAGGGTCAAATATATGGCTTGCGAACCTAATGCTCTGGACTTTCTGCCTGGGTTGTTGGGCAGGTCCCTCAGATTGTAATTAATAAAATGACTTAATTATGTAAGAATATTATATAAATATATTTGTAGTATTTAAATATATATGTATACATATGTGTATATATATATAATTTTTTTTATTTTTATTTACATATAGCTATATATATATATATATATATATATATATCGATTGATGTCCTGATGAAAGTTTGCTGATGTAAACTGAAACATTGACAAGTTCTATGGATTAAAACCCTTTTCATTTTTTACAAGTCCTTGAGTGCTGGCTTCATTTGGCAGATTGTATTTTTGTGCAGCTGAGCACCGGGCATTTAACTAAGAGGAAAGCAGGAGTGCAAAACACCAATAAATTGTGTGTGTGTGTGTGTGTATATATATATGTATATATATATATATATATACATATATGTATTTATAATGTCATTCTAAATGTATTTTGAATTTAATATATATGTACATTATATTAATATCAAAATACAGTTAGAACAAATTAAAACCGGTATATCATTTTTTTTTAAATTTAATTTTTTTTCCTAATTTTCATTTTGCATATATAATTAAATAAAGGGAAACAACACACAGAGCTAGGCACAATAAGGTTATAACACAGCCAGGATCACTGTGCAGGATTACACGGAGCTGCAATACAGAGATACCCACAGAGTACATGCCTCTATATAATGATTTATCTATCTATCTCCCTAGCTCTTACTCTCATTATCTCATCTTCAGTAGTGCTCCTGCTATGCTAACTTTATCTTTCTATTAAATATTGCTGCTGTTGTGAAACATATCAGCTACTCCATTAGCTCTCAGCACAAGTATACTAATGGACTCCAAACCATTTCAGCTATTCCTGACTCATTATAATATTAGCTCTCAGCAGGGCCAGATTAACAGATCATTGGGCCTGGTGCTGCAATTATAATGGGCCTACTTACAAAATCTTATCGACAGAAAACACTAAAACAGTTATACCTCCCAGACATCATGTATCTGATAGAGATGGTGCTGGAGGGAAACTCACAGGAAGCAACTCTATGCTAATCTCTCGATTTCATCTTTCAAGTAAATACATACCCCTAACAGCAGTGTCCAGTGAAGCAGGATGTCGATGGGCGGGATAAAAGGCTTGGTCACTGATGCGAATCACATATCCAGAACTGCCCACAGGGGAAAACATGCCCAAAGAGGGGGCGTGTCTGTCCAAAGAATTAGGTCAGCCTTGTGTGATTGCTTGTCTGACTGCTTGCTAATCATGCAGGCTGGCCAACTAAGGGCATACTATGCCCAGAATTTGTCATAAATGCGTCTAATGATGCGCTCGCTCCACGCTTTCTAAGGACTGTGCTCTAGCCCTAACATGTCCACTCCTCTTCTTAACATCTTAGTAGCAGGCAGAAGCTCCAGTTATACAGTCTGGGACAGAGAAAAGGTATTAATTAGTGAGTGTAGAAAAAAGGGAACATGCCACAGTGTTAGAGAAACTGCAGCAGTAAGAGCATTTGCCCAGTGCGCAAAGCAAGCTTTATCTTAACTAATTTAACTGTCAGCCAATCCACACAAGTTTTGTTCACCTAGATCTCTCTTAAGTTTCCATACTTAAGCATTTTTGTTTAAATCAATGGGCCTATTCCATGAGCATGGGCCTGGAACTGCAGCTCCAT